GTATATATATATACCAATTCTCGATTGAATGATTGGTTTTCAGAGTTTTCTCACACACAATTTATACTTTCCATTTTGAAGAGATGCCATAAATATGTATTTATTGTTCGTATAATTATTTGTGAAATACATATATATATATATATATTACTATGTAGGATAATATGTATATATATATAAATTACGTATACTTGTTCGACTTCGTAGAAAACCTAAACATTTCTACAGACATTTTTACAAAAAGTCCAGACCATATTATATTATAGTCTAAACAGCAGGCAGCAGGATTATATATATATATATTGTATATTGTATATAGAACTTCTATTGCTAATTAGATAAATTTTCTTTTACATTAATTAGAAAAACATAAAATCAGTTTTAATAGTTTCAATAGATATATGAACGTAGGAAAAAATGATATGAATAACACGAACGCTTGATATGAGTACCTATACTTATAGTTATCCAGCACTAATACTCAGATGCAATAGTAACCAATTACGTTATATAATGAAAACAAAATAAAATTATAAAATGCAGTCAACCTGAAGGATTGGATTAAATATAATAATTTAATTAATGTATTTAAATTAGACCATGATGGGCAGAAACTAGAAGCAATACGTATCGTAAAAAACCAAATCAACCGGCACAATAACAAAACTGCAAAAGTTTACGTACGTACAAAATTATTTATAATGTTGAATGTTGATGACGGTATGACAGGACAGTTGATCACAATATTATTCAACAGCGGTTGTCATAATATTGTGTCGTTTAATTTACGAATGATTATAATAAACGTAATCATCAAGTTCAAAAAATATAATTCTTGTCATCATCTACTTAATTGTAATCATACCTATTGGCAATAATAATAATTAATAGTTATACGCAAACAATACAAACCGGGTACCGCTCTACTGTATATTAAAATATGTCGAGTGGGGTCACTGCAGTGATGGATGTATTAAATTCGAATTCAATGATATGGCATTTTATATGAAAAACGATTCTGAGCAGAGAAGATCCGTCTGATTATATTGTTTTAAGTACATTTAATGATATAATAAAATTGCTATTAAAGCAATTTATTTTCTAACAGTCTACGGTAAGTTGATGGCTCATTTTTCAAAAGCATTGATATATTATATTTTAATATTCAATTATTATAATATAATAAATATAATTTATATCGTATTATATTATACAGTTGTGCGTAGCCAGAATTTTTATGGGGTGGTTAAAATGTAACTAGTGAAGGATTTGTTTTTTCACACTCCCTGAAATGTACTCATAAATTGTTTAAATAAATTATAATATTACGTTTAACTTTTAAGTATTTATTTAAATAATAGTAATAATAATAATACTGATAATATAATGTTTTTCCTTTTTTTATAAATATATTAAACAAAAAAAAATAATAAAATAAAAATTATTATACAATAACAATAGTGTTTAATAACATATTATGTTTAAGATAAAGTTTATCTTAAACCGTGGTAGTGTGTGAATACGGCATAACAGAATACATTTTACCACGACCAAATGATTGTATTCCTATATTATAAACATTATATTTTTGATATAAATACGGCCGAGGGGAGGGATTTAACACCCAAAATCACCCTCCTGGCTACGCCATTGTTAATATACTATTACTATAAACTTTTGATTCGAAAAGTCGATCATCGTTTTCTCATAAAACAAGATGAATAATAATATGTTCAATGTTCATGGTACATAAATAAAAAATTAACCTACATATTTTGAAAATATTATTATATAAAATTAACTTTATCGAACACGTAAATATTTTAAACCCTCTAGAATAATGTTTTTAAATTAAAAGAAAACAATGATAATCGTTATATTCTTCGTTAAACATGTTATTTTCTTTAAATTTTTTAAAATTTAAATATCAATAATAAAAATTTGGCATATATGTTATTTTAGATTTAGATACCTACCAAGATTTCAATTAAGACAATTTGGGAGTAATCGTGTATTACATCTTCAAACCTCAAATATAAAAAATAGAATTTTTACATTTAAAAATTAATTTGTAAGTTTTTCTCGATTATTTTGAAAAATGCTAGAAATTTTTAATTTTAACCTCTCAAAAGTACAAAGTTCAAACAAAATCCAAATTTTTTACTATAAGTATTTTAAGTTTAAATTTTTAAAAATTTGTTAATTTTTTCAGTTAAAAATGTATAAAATATGGAATTATTTTAGATAAAACTTGAAAATTGTATACAAAGTTTATCATAAATACTTCATACTAAAACTAAAAAATCTAAAAAAAAATGTAAAAGTATAATTTTTTTTTTAATCATTTTAAGCTCAAATATTTTCGAAGTCGCATTTTTAAATTATAAACAACGATATTCACTATTTTTGTATAGTTAAAAAATACTATTCATTAAAAAATAGAACTTTCGCGTAAGTATATAATAATTATATTATAAACACACGCAATGGTATTTTCAAATGTAATGTTTTCGCCAAAAATTAATTCAACCAACTGTATTATTAGTATAGTAAAATAAATTACTTTAATTGCAAAATCAAAAAATATAACATGAAATATACTTGGTGATATCATAAGCTCATAAACCGTTTTTTGTATACAATGATATTTTATCACATGATTTCAAGTTATTAATACGTCTACAAAATTCGTGGAGGAACTTTCAAAATATTTTGATATATTTTAAGCTATTGCCTATTCATATTTATACAATGCCTTTCGCCTACTATATTATTAAAACTAGAATAAATTACTTAAATAATTTAAATATATAATAAATATATATGCTTTTATTAGTTTAGTAATATTCGTATAATATTAAAGCTAGGCTGACCGACTATCTTCGCTCATTTACCATTGAATTAAAATTTAACACGTCCATTACAGTGACCTACTCAATATTAATTACAGTAATACAGTATATACAAACATAAAGTACACTTGACATTGTTTATACAGCAAAGAAGTTATTTACTGAAGTGTCACTTTTTTTTTCTTTTTTTTTATATCTGAAGACACTTATTATAGAAAATACTCTTCAGTCATCAATTTTGTACGAGATTTTTGTTAGAAAATTGGATCAAGTTTATAAACATTTTGCAATACTTTTTAAAATAATAGAAAAAAACAATAAATTATCATAGTTATTATTAAATTCATTTTGTTAAAACTTTAAGAGGGACTAGGTATCAGACTGGAATGAAGAGAATGTATATTTACCTGCAATTACTTAATTTTTTAAATATGTATTGTTATTATTTTATTTTTTTTTTTTTTTTTAATTAATAAATGTTAATTATTGATATGCAATATCGATTTTAACGGAAATTTGACATAAGCGGTATCGGCACATCCTTAAAATCTATTCTAATATAATTATAAGCTAAAAAAAAATTATTTTTTCTTTCTGTTTGAACGCGCTAATCTCTGGAACTACCAGTCGGATTTGAAAAATTATTTTTACAATTAATAGCAAGTACATTTTTACTCACTTCAAACTTGAAAAGCTTCGCTTCTGCGTGGTAGGTAGCACTGTCTGTGTACAAAAATCTATAGGTAACCGACGAATATAACTCCACCAACTTTTTAAAACTTATTTCATCATTAACTGGTATTGTAGAAATTGTCGACCCTTCGACACATCGCGTCGCATCGCTTACTCGCGCTATAATTTCGTTTTTGCTTAGCGTTCTCTCTGATATTTTTTTCTTTTTGTTTGGCTCATGCTAAGGGTCGCAGCGTACTTTTAAATACCCTTAATCTTTCTTCGAGAATTGGGTTATCAAATGCAAAACGTTATTTATAATCGTGTACTTTTCGATTCCAATATTCTCGAATCCCAATTTTTACCTCATCTGTTCTCTATAATATCAAAAAAAAAAAAAAAAAAAAAAAATGTAAACACCTTAACAATAACGATTTAAAAATATTAAATATTACTTTATATAAGTACTATAATAAGTGTAAATAGTGTAATATTGTTCTATTCTCTTCACGAACGCATTAAAAATGTATACAATTTTCCTGGAAATAATATGAAAAATAGTTATATATAAACGCTTGCAATGATTTTCTTCAACATTACAATAATATATAGAGAGATAACTACACTCGTTTTGATCTCAGTTATTTTAAGATATGTTACGCGTTCGAGTTACCTAACACTCTTCGTATGCATAACGCGCGCGAAACATAATACATTTTATTTTAAAATAAATGTCATTCAATATAATATAATACATCATCGCGTATGCGAATCACATCGGGTATTCCTGTATAATATTGTATATATTTTAAATATTTATATATACAATACAATATTATTATGGCGTCGTACAGCAGCAGCAGTCAGCTGTAGACCAGAAGTAATAAAATAATAATAATCAAATTCTGATATTCTTATAGGTATAATACGAGTATACTTACAATTGAAGCTACAGTCTATGAGAGCATCAAGAATCGCGAGTTTAATATAACTAGATACTTAATAATAAAACAAATTTTAATGATAATAAATAATGAAAGCACAATGTGAGTAAATGTAATATGTATATACAAAATATATGTTCTCAACATATTTTTTTTCATGCTCGGAAAAATACGGTCTATTAAAATTTATAATCCACTTCAAAGGTGAATTCTCGGAATAAATAATAATGCATTTGAGCGTTTTCTGGAAAAAATAGTTGTTCAAAGTTTTTAATTTGTATTTCTTTAATCTCGAACTAACACACAAAAAAAATATTGTATAATAATATTTATACATCCTTGAACTGCGAACGATGCTATAAGGTTACTTTTTTATCCGCCCAATTATACAGACGTTATAAAAATCATTTTCCTTATTCTTATGTTATCATCATTATTATATTTTGCGTGTTATTAAAACGTATTTACGTATACGCGCACGTCCATTGTTCGTTCTGATAGAGATGTTGCGCAGTCCATATTATTATTATCATCGTACGCATAATGACAATAATATCCGACATCGTTTTTTATCTCGTGTTTTTAGTGATTTCGTCCACTGCAAGTCGTCGTCGTTTTCGTAAGACAACGCCACCGGCCAAACAAGAATATCGAAATTAAAAGCAAAATATTCAGTAAGTACGACCGAGCGAGGGAATTCGTATCAACGTACCCACCTTTACTATATGAATCGCGGACAAAAAAAGCAATTCATATAAAATTTAAAAATAGCAATTTGGTCGAAACAATATATATGCGCGTCTCGTATGACTCACATATATATAGCCGCTGCACAAGCTCGTTCATTTAAAGACGATGTCTTCAGAAAATGTGTTCAGTCATTTTTTTTTTATTATTATTTTATTTACCCATATTTCATCGGTTTATCCTCAGTATTACGTAAGTATACAATTCTGTTCTCTGGAAAGTAAAATATTTTGATATTATTTTATAGCTAAAACACATTTATAAAATAAACGAAGTTTACTTATCAGCACTGCACTCTGGTATAACGAATTTGTGTATTGTAAATTGCATGTTTAGAATATCCCATATATTATAAGAGCATAATAAAAAAAAAACAAAAATCGTTTACCACGATGATGAGAATAATATTCTCTCAAATAATAATCTCCACAAAAATGTTTTCTGCTTTTTTTGCTTCGGTATGATATATAATATAAACAAGACTGGATTAAGGGGGATATGGGGGTAAATAATATGTAAATAGGGCTCATATTGTAGCTTAAAAATATACCAAGTGATCATTTGTATATTTTATACGTAGTAATGCTAAAAAAAAAAAAAAATTGTAAAATGTAATACTTTTATACTATAAAAGTATTACATTTTCAGACAAATTAAAGTAAAAACAAGATGTTGAATTCATAAAAATAAAAATACATTAATTATTTAATATTATAATATTCATATTATATTTATACATTCGCTTTATCTTTTAATTTATATTATTTAGTTGAACATAAATAATAATATAATGTATGTTTTTAAATATGTTTTTTCTGCGCCTTTATATACATTTTACATAGATGAGTAATATTTTATAAAAAATTTTAAATAACAACAAAATGTTCAAACACTCCATGCTAATAAATAATTATATTATTCAAAAAAAGTAAAATGTACTACTTTTTTTTTAAACAAAAGAGTAATATATCATATCGTTGATTACATTTTTATATAATGTACCTATATTTAATTAATTACGTGTATTATCCATTAACAGTGAGTACCTAATAGCTAATATAAAGCTATATGTACGTCAAAAAAATATGTCAATGCATTTAAAAACAATAAGTTCAGATTTTGACAAAAGTCACCAACAACAATTGTCACATTACAATGACTTATTACTTCTCAATGACAAGGTACATTTGACACTTACTATATAGCACTATATATATATACTTACCTGTATAGCAGACCTACACTTTCCTCTTTGTTTTAGTTGTACCTTTGGGTTTTGGGCTTTGAATAATAAGTTTTAGGTACATAAAAATACTCTGGATATGAATGATTGTATTATCACGACTTGCAATTTTAAACAATTTCAAAATGTAAATATAAATTTATAATAATAAGCAATCCACGTTGTTGAAGCTAAGTTAAAAAAAAAAATAGTTTTGAATTCTATCAATAATCACATTAATAAATCGCATTTATACAAATACAGGTATTCAAAAATATATAATATTATTTATAATGGTTTAAAGTAATTTATATATCAGAAAATTATCGATACTTGGAAAACAAAATATCGAGCTCATCATAAATATTTTACTGTTTAATTACTTATAAATTATCATTATGATTTATTGTTTAAATTTTTTTATAATATAAATGTTTATACATCCTTTTTTTAATGTTTTTGGTAAATATATCAACTCAAATATAAGTTATAAGATAATAAATTTATAATTAAAAGATAATACTATTTTAAGATACAAAATAGTTTTAAGATTAGGGTTAGGATTAGCAGGTAATTTTGTTTTTTACTTTTGTTTTGTATATAAAAAGTTAAATTATTATACTATTTGATATGCTCTGTTTGTTGGTATTTAAAACTTTTGATATTATGTATAATAAACAATTTTTTTATAGTTTAAGATCAAAGCGTTTAACTTGGGATCAACACAATAAATCTAATATAATATCTTTAAACAACCATCTGCGCATTTTGTTGTTTAATTTAAATTCTTTATAAAACTAACTTCCTATAAAACTCTTTTAAGACCAATTTGGATTAATATGAACCTCAGTTGTGTTGGGAATGCAAAAAAAAGTCAAAAACAAATAAAATGCAATCTTTTCAGAACATTTCCTTCAGAAAACGTATTAATGTGCGTCTCTTATTCGTTTTTAACTTAACAATACAAGTACCTACAGATTTGAAACTAAGCTCTAAATATGAAACAGCCAAATACTTTTACAAAAGATTGTATAGTCGTCTCTCGTCTGTCAACTCACTTAAATCCTCTTAATCAAAATGTTTTCGTTTTTATTCTTTATCAGTCCCTTGCTAGTGCCTGGTAATAATTCTCGTGGATGCATAAAGCATAAATTTAATGGTTTTGTGGTCTCTTAAAATAATAATTAGGCAGTAAGCATACGTAATGTAGAGTGTCATCAATATAGGTATATACAAATTACTTCACTTAAGTTGTTGTTGTGCCATGTTTTTTTATTTACTTATATGCTCACTGTATAAATATAATATGCAATATGCATAATTAAGTATAGGTATATATAATAGTTACGGTAGCTATGTAACTCGTAAATACGCATACTTTATATTTTTCAATGCCATTAATACATTTTTAGTCTAGACCAAATCCATTAAAATAATGATGTGCAACTATGCAAAACATTTAAGTATAGACAATTAAAAGTTAATTTTAATTTTTAATATAACCACCTATAGTTAGGTAACTAATTGTCTTATTGACGTGGTAATTTAACTAGTTCAAGTATCGATTGTAATATCTACCTAACTATTTTTAGTTTATTTGAAAAATAATAGGAACGAACTTTAAATTATGCTTATATACTCGTAGTTACATAAGCTTATGTACTTATAGTTATATAATAGCTTATAAGTAAAGAGTGAATTTTTAGGTTCTTAATAGCTTAAATATGATGCTAATATGTTTTAACAAAACCCTAAAATATTCTCTAAATATCCCTTAAACTTGTAAATATGCAAACAATATGATTTTTTTCCAAAATAATTCAATAAAAACAATAAATATTTTTGCACCATTCATTTGGTAACAGATAAAATATTTAAATATAAAAATAACAACAAATTTATTATTAAAAAATCGTTCTCATCACGTTATCAGTTATCAAATATGATAGTCTATGGGAATATGGTACAATTACCGCGGACTAAGAGTAATAGAATTACTAATTTCATTACAAACAAATAAATAATTGAATGATTCTTAATTTTTATTATTTTTATATCATATTATTTATTTTTTCCTAAAAAAATAATTGTTGTAGGAAAACATTACGAGTCGAGAAATAAATAATAGATTATAAAATGATTTTTTATGAACACTATGAAAAATTTGCTAAATATTCTCTAATGTCCAAAATATTCTTCAGTATGTAAAATAAATGGTTTCCTACGAACTCTGTGATGAATAAATCGTTTACATTTTTCATTCTTGCGAAGCTATGTAAAGCCAGTGAAAATATGTAAAAATCTAAAGATTCACTCTTTACTTGTAAGGAATATTAATTCAATAATTTTCTATAACTTTTGTACCAACCTTTTTTATCACACTGTATACAATGACTAAAAAAATTTAAAAAAATAAATACTCATTGATTTAACAATTAAGTTGACACAAAAGTATTATAATTTCTAAACCCAGGTACAACATATAATAGATAATATATTCTTATAAAAAGAAATAGTAGCTTTCATTTCTGATAAAATGTTTAAAATTATCTTCTTAATTATTATTTAAACAATTGAAAGTCGCACAATTAGGTACTACATGTAGCCCATGTGGTAAATAAAAAAAATTAATTAGGTATACTTAATTAATTTTATTTTAAGATACTTAGGTACCTAATTAGTTATGAGTGTTATAACTTATAACTACATTTTGAACAAATTAAACTATAAACTAGGGATATTGACTTTAGACTTAAATAATTTAATAATAAACTGTTAATTAATTATTTGCGTTATGATTTAACATTTTTAACGTTGACTTAAACAATTTAATTTTTTTCATCAATTTGCCTTGGTCTTTGCCAGTAAGTTAGGTTATTGTTACCTTCCGTAATGATAGCTTTGATTGGTTTCCTTCGGAAAATGATTGAACAATAATAAAAAAAAAAAAAATCAGAAAACTTACTCTGCTGTATAGTAGGCGTCAAGTGTACTTTGTCATTGAGAAGGTCACTGTAATTGATGTGTTAAATTATAATTCATTGATAATTAATATAATTGTATACGACAAAAAATGATTCTAAGTGGAAACGGATTTCAGGCTATATTTTATATATTATAAATACGAGTATTACATATTTATATTATTATTTTTATTTTTTGTTTAGCTATAAGGTGTGTTGAACAAGTTTTTATCTAAAATAAATCATATATTATATTACTTCGTGTGAGTTCATGTCATATATTTATAAATAATATTACTCATAATACTTTATTTGTTAACCACCTTGTAACGGTAACAATATGAATATTTAACGTATAATATATATTTTAACTTAAAACTATCTGCAATACTATAGAAATAGAATGATGTGAATAGCTTTTTATGGTAAGTGAACCTATCTTAAAATAATAGTTCAAGTATTTTTTTGAACTACAACAACATAACTAAAAATGTTATTTTCATTTGAATATCTAATTTCATCGAAATTATAATTTGAAAACAAACCTATGAAAATATGAGCGTTCTTTTATATAGGTTCCTACTAGAATAGCTTACGAAAAAGTTATAACTATACATTTTTAAGTCTAAGCTATTCAAAATTTAAAATTTAATACAGTTTTACACTCAAAACAATTTACAAATTTTCGTGATTTTTTACAAATGTTGTAAATAACAGAAAAAGAGCTAAAATATAGGTATCTAATTTGAAAAATATATCATGATATTTAGAAATACTGATATAAATATTTGGTAAAAAATGCAGGTCTCTACACAGTTTTTTTTTGTTTTCGAACGACAATTTATTTTAAAACCTACAATACGTCTACTATACAGACATAATCCCTCGAGGAGGTATACCTAATCTATTGTAGATCAAATTTACAACGAAAAACCACTCTCTCCTCGGGTTTAAAACCGAAACATTATTTATTATTATTTATCCAAAAGGTGACGACGAGAAATAATGAGAAGAAAAAAAAAACCGGTAAATTAAAATAGAAAAATACATTTCATTTAACAATCGCCGTGCCGTTCAGAGTGAAAACGTCGTGAAAACAAAAATAAAAAAAAATAAAAAATTTCACGGAATAATCCCTACGGACGGGTCGCATGTGTACTCGGTATGACAAAAAAAAAAAAAAGAAAAAAATTTAAACAATACCACGGTTAACAAACCAACGCTGGTAATATCACGGTCCACGACACAATGGATAATAATAAAACATTATTTCGTGCCGAAGGATAATAAATAATATAATAACAACAACAGTCAACAATAATAATAATATTAGGCTTATGCGCGTTTGAATGCTGGAGAGAGTGTATAGATATATACACAGTACACATACACACTATATTATAAGTGTTATAATAGAGGTAATAAGTAGGTAGGTACAATATAAATATAATAATAATAAATAATATTATATTTTAATCGTGTACCGGCGATTGTGCCTGTTTAATAATTGTAGGCAGGTAGGCGGATACGTCTTATCGACGCAACGGCGGCGGTTGGTCACTACTCGTCTGTTTTAAATCGTCGCGGCCGGTGCCTTGGCCGTGGAACGAGAACGACGCTGTGACAATAGCGTCAATGACGACGACGACGACCACTATGATAATGATAATGAGAATAATAATAATAATAATAACAATAATAATGATGATAATCGTACGCTATCTCTCGTTATTATTATTATTATTATTCCTTGACCTTATCACTCGGGCGGTTCTTATCACACGACCAGACGGTTTGTGCCGTGTGGTCTCCCGTAAACAAATAATTTCCCTTTCCGGTCGCCGACCCCCTCCCCTTCACCGTTCGTCAATCCGTCGCGTTCGCCGCCCACCAAACGATAACCGCGAACATCCCATACGACCCGGCGATACGTCGTCTCCGTCATCGTCATCATCATCATCATCATCAGCGATATAATAATAATAACAATAACGTCATAACTCCCAGGGGGTCGACGAGTGTGTTGAGATAACGAGATCATATTTTTATTTTTATTTTTTAGCCGGAGGAAATATTATTTTTCGACGGATTCGCGCTGTCCGTCCGCCGTCGCGTCTCCTACAAGTCGTTCGCCCGACCGCCCGCCCAGTCTTACCTACCAGGCACTCGCCTCTCGATACACCTGCCCAGGTCGCCGGCCGATTAGCATTCATTCCGGTCCACCGGCGATGGCGGTCGGTCCGTCGTCTGGCATTTCCTCCGACGTCCGAGGACGCCGCAGTCATTACACGGGGCACGCACACCGGCGTTCGGTCCTGTCGGCGGCGTGATAATCATCGGCTTCCGAACACCGCTTGCCGTTGCCTCACATGCGTCAGCGCGCGTCGTCCGATCGACGTCCGCAGTACGCACACCTCACGGCACGACGATGGATTGTGCGTCGACACTGTACTCCCACCGCAACAACGGACTGATGACCAGGTCGCTGGAGAAACTGCTGGAGGACGCTCATCTGTGTGGCGAATTGAAACTGGGCGGGCGCAAGCTAAAGGAATTCCCGGCGACCAACAAGTACGATTTGTCCGACACGACCATTGCGGGTAAGACGCGTCCGCGCCGGGTCGCCCAGCCGTCGTCTTAAGACCCGTTTGTTTTTCAGATCTCTCCAAGAATTGCTTCACACACTTTCCAACCGAAGTGATTAAGTTCTGGTCATTAGAATCTCTCAACCTCTATCATAATGCTATACGATCGATACCGAATACAGTCACATCACTTCAATCATTGGTGCATCTTGATCTCAGGTTAGTGGTTATTGAATTCGAGTACTTGTCTACGAATTGTTTAGAGTCGCCGACTCGTGGTTTACGACAATAGTCGTTAATAATTATAACTGTTGTCGACTACCTAGAACTTTTTTTTTGATTTGCGACTCATAGATTTCAACACTAACTTAATGTTCAGAAAATAAAATATTCTTTTTCTGTTTTAAAATATGTGTGTTGCAACTTTTTCTTAATGATGGTCGATAAACAGATAACACTGTTTTATGAATGAATTTATTTTCAACCTCACTATTGTCTTTACTATTTATAAAATGTGCAAACATTTTTAATAACAATATTGTATAAATCATAAAGTATTCAGAATTAATTACAAATTATTAAGAAATATTTTTAAACAGTACATATTATATACTTAAACATAATTTCAATGATATTATTTGTTTGTAAACTATGAGTGTAGATGTTTAGATATTCCTATGTTTTATTTAACAAACAATTTAACCAATCTAATTGAATACTTAAATGTTTAACATTTTTATAGCCATACTATAATGGTGATATTTTGTTTAACCTAAATTGAAATATTTAAAAATTAATTACCAGGACATATAATATTTTTAATATTTTTACGTTTCAAGGTTCAAGTTTTTTTATTTATGTAAAAGCTTAACACATTTAGTGAATGTTATCTAGATCTAAAGTTTTAATTAAATATGCATCACATAATTATTAACAAAAACACTACCTATTAACTAGAACCGGGACTATAGTTTAAAATTATTCAACATCAAATAAAAATAAAAACATTATTCAATTTTTATTAAAATGTTAATTGTATATATTTTTTTTAATTACAAGTAAAGAAAAATTATTGTTCTTTCGTTTAGTTTTGCTGTTTTAAAATATAAGCACCAATTGTCATTTAATGTTATTATCTCTGTAATTTATTTTGTTTAATTTTTTTCTGCTTTAATTATCTCGATTGAAAACTTTAATCACTTATTTCTCAGTGTACAGAATTTTTACAATCTCAAAACATGTACATACAATTTTAATATTTTTATTCTCATAGTTATTATAAATTATGTTTTTTACTCATCTATATTTATTTACCAGTTACCTTACATAATTAAATCAAAAAATTAATAAATATGTGTATAAAAGCTCTTGCTCTATTAACACTATGGTATAATTTACTTTGATTAATATTTGAATATATATATATATAATCTATCGCATAACTTTAAGCATACCTTTAGAAAATAATATCAATAATCAGATTCAATATGAAACTATCATAAATATAATAATCAAATAATTAATGGTATTATAATAAAGTAAAATAATTATGTTATCTAGACAGTTAAGTATTTTTATTTATTCAAAGGTAGTTATGATTTATCTAAATTTCCACCTATCACGTACACAAAATATATGTGTATTCATATATATGTAATCTTTTTTTATAGTCGGAACCGTTTAACATGTCTACCATCAGCTATATGTCAGTTACCTCTCGAAATCCTATTATTGTCCAATAATAAACTTAAACAGTTACCCACCGAAATTGGATTCTGCAAAACTCTTATTGAGTTAGATGTAAGCTGTAATGTGCTTATTAATTTACCACCACAGTTGGGTCAACTATCCTCATTAAAATGTTTAAATGCACAAAATAATCTACTTATTGAGTTACCATTAGGTAAGTAAAACATTACAATAGTCTTTAACATTTTGTAGTTAAATTTAAAAAAAAAAAACTATTCAAAATAATTTTTGAAGTTTAATTAATATATATTATCTAAAACCAAGTAAAATATTTAACGTTTATGTGTTTTTATATCATTATACTTTTACATTTTTTAATTTAGATTAAAAATATTTAGCCACTCAAAATTAAATAATAATTTAGAATATTGTATAACATAATATAATCTTAAAAAGTTTAAAAATTAAATTTTGTATTTTTTCACAGAATTAACATGTTTAAAATTAGCAAGATTGAATGTCAGTTTGAACCGAATAGCATCTTTACCTGTTGAACTGCGATTAATGTCTTGTTTAGAATATTTGAATGTAGCCAATAACCCTTTGGTCTCCCCTCCGACTGCTGTAAGAGTGCATATTTATAATTATTTTAGATTTTTTAACAAATAATATGTCATCTTTTGTAATGCTATCGTTGTTTTTTTTCTTAATGTCTTAGGTATGTATTAAGGGTCGTATTCATATATTTAAATGGTTGGAATTAAAAAGTATTAAAGAAGGTCGAAATCGAGGATCATCATGGAAGTTCAATTCTCTTAAGAGTAATAATCACAGTTTAGACAGTAATATGGACAGTTTAACATTATCTGAAACAACTAGTTTGGTACATTCTTCAGATGAAGTGAGTTTATTAAGCAGTATTATATTGGTTCACAAATTATAATTATTTAATTATATTTTTAGGGTGCAAATGGAAGTATGGAGTATTTAAACAAATCTGACAGAAAACATAAGGAAATCAACAGATACAATAACAATGCAAGGTATTGTGTATCATATTAACATTTTTTATGTGATTATTTTTAATAATTTGTTTAATATTTTAATTTGCAGTCCTGAAATTGTACATGTTAGTAAAAGCAATGGTAATATGTCAACAAATTCGAATAAAATATACTCGAGTAATAATGGTATCAAGTTAAATGATAAGCCAACACATCACACACAAAGTTATAGGTATGTATAGTTGATGACACGATAAATGCTTAGTACATTCTTTCACCTGCACCATACCTGACTGATAACCATAAGTTCTCAAACAGCCCCTTGCGGTTTTCACCCTGGATGTATATGTTGTTCCTTAAAAATATGTCTACCAAAACTCATGATTCATCAATTTTGAGTTACAAAAAATAGCAAAAGTAGAATAATAATAATAATAAATCATCACACATTACTTTTTTAATAAGATAAGATAAAATATCTTCAGTCGATCTAAATGACCAAACAATACTATAAGTTTCCAACGTTCATTACTTAGGAGTTAGGAGTTTAGGAATAACGCTAGACCTAAACTAAACTTCAGAAGGAAATTACTAAATAATTTACTTGGTAACCACTCAAAATTCAACCTCAATAACAAACTACTAATCTATACTAATCTAACAACTTCTCATGCCCATATGAACTAACGGCATCCAGATATGAGGTGCGGCTAAATTTTCAAATCTAAACAAAATATAAATATTCCAATTGATCACCTTGCGCATCACTAAGGCTCCCTTTTACATATCCAATCACATATGTCACACAGACCCTACATATCAAAATTGTCTTAGAAATGTTCTCAATTATGTATAAACTTTATCGTAAGTAAATCTAAAAAATCACCGTAACCCACTAACCTTAGCACTTAACTTAGACTCAATGTCTGGAAACCCTCTAAGGAGGATTAAGAGAAGATGGTTTTGTGACCTAAAATTTAATCCTTTATCAAAGTATACAAATAAATAAATAAATAATATTAATATACATATTATGTATATGTACATGAAAAAATTGAAAAAAAATCAAATTAAAGTATAGTCGCTGGGTTTTTCTTTTTCATATAAATCATATTAATTCATTCATAGCTCATATTCTTATTGTAAAATAAAGTTTTACAAATTATTTATAAATAAATAAATTGAAAAAGTATAAAAAAATAATATATATAATTAATTTAATATAACATACTATATTAGTTGAATTACCCAGCTTTGCCCGAGAAAAAAATAGTGATTTATACTATAGGTGATGGCTGCTTTCTTTCGTTGAATTTTTCATTTTGATAATGCTAATACACATGTGCAGATGACAACTCTCTCTGTCTGATGCATATATAAATTTAGCTTACGTATGCGCATCAAATTAAAAAATACGATGAAAGAAAGCGGTGAATACAACATAATATCTTAATTGAAATAGGCTAACCACTAATAAAACTCATACCTTGCGTTTTATATTAAACTAAAAAAAACTACATTTTTTGAAAAGTAATTTTTATTATTTTGGAAAAACGCTGCATAACCACCGATTAACCAATATTTCTTTATAAACAATATTATTAGTTTTTTCACCAGGGGCAAATATGTATACATTTTTTTCTAAGCTTACACAGAAGCAGTTAACATAAAATTGTCCATGAGGTAGTAGGGATCGCTGATGTCAATTCCTGCAACTTTCCTCGTCTGTCCTTGTGCCTTATTAATTGACATAGCAAAACAAAGTTTAATAGAAAATTTGACACGTTTAAATTCAAAGGGATACTCGTATACTATATTCAATAATATATGAATAAATTAAAGAAAATAAGGAAATGATGATATCCACTGAATACTGATGCAAATTGGCTGCTAGATTCACATTGGTTACTGGCCAGATCTTTTGTCACCAATTATAGTACAACATTAATATTTCTTATTATTTTTGTTACATTTTATCTAAATTATTTTACAGAGAATACAAAGAGTTCCTTAAACAACAACGTGCCCAAGAATCTATTTATAAAGGAAAAGTTCAAAATCCAGACAATAACTATGATCAAAAGGTTTGTGTTAATTGTCAAAATGCCACAAAAATGATTCATGTTAAATTTTTTTTCTATTTTTATTTAATTTATTAACAGGATATTCGTCCATACATTAAACCAAGTACACCTGAAATTATATCAACTCCAGTCAATAATTTGTCATTACCAATGTCATCAAGTCCAAGTAGTCCAAATATTTGGTCCAAGAATAACACTCAAATCACTAAAAATAAACTTCAGTTCACAATGAAACGGGAGTATGATAAAGCAAGAGAAGAGGCAGAACTTGTGAAGCAACTACGAAATGTAAGTGTTCATATTATTATTATTTTTTAATTGTTGGACCATTGATTTGAAGCATATTTTTGTATTTTAGACTATCGAATCACGTTTAAAAATGTCTCTTCCAAGTGAACTATCACCGGCTCTTAATGATGGAGTTGTGCTTTGTTACTTAGCAAACCATGTCAAACCTAGATCTGTAGCAAGCATTCACGTACCTTCACCAGCTGTGGTAAATATTAATACAATTAAATACTAAAAAGTATCCAGTATAATTTATGTTTATCTAATTTATTAGATTCTTATTATATATCTTATTTATAGCCTAAACTAACCATGGCTCGGTGTAGACGGAACGTGGATAACTTTTTGGAAGCATGCCGTAAAATTGGTGTGAATGAAGTAAGTAATTACTGATTCTATGTATTGACAATGACTAGAGACTAGAATTTTATGCATTTTCATGTTCATATTGAGTGTATGCACTTATATAAAGATTTGGAGATTTGAAATGTGGACGATTCAGACCCAATTGATTCCATAGACAAAATTTAATTTTTCAGATAATGGCATATTTGGAGGGTTGGAGCATATTTTTTCATGAGTACATATAATGTGCATATTTTTTACAATCTTAGTAAATCAAATTATTTCATGTTTTTATTTTGGAAATTGCAATTTTTAAGTACTGCCATACTGGCGAAAAAAAATTTCCTTCAATACAGAATAAAATTTTATCTTCTCTAGTTTGATACCGTGTTGATAAACTATTATCTGAAAAATTAAATTACTGTTGTGTAAAGATTAGAATTAATTTATTGACAACATTGTAAATTTTATTTATTTAAACTGTTTTTAAAACATTTAATGATTTTTTTTTATGCTTAAATATTTTGTTGATATACTTAGATGTTGAAAGGTTCAACACTCCTAATTTTTTCATATTTATTTGTTTTATGTGTTCTAATGTTTGCTGTTGTTTTAAATAATATAAATTTATGATACATATTTGAGCATAATTTTCAATTATTTGTGCGTATGAATTCATATTTTGACCCAAATGCTTTGCATATTTACCACATTATTAATGCATATAACTCCGGTCTCTAATGGTGATTAAATTTAATAACAATTTGGAGTATAAAAAAAATTATATTTAGTAGGTGTTAATATTTTAACTACAGCATTAACTTGTTTTTAGAAACTGATTTGTTGTGCTGTTGATATTTTGGAGGGAAAAGGGATTGTTCAAGTGGCCATCACTGTTGCTGAACTATTGAAATTCCATACAACAAAAACACAACCACAAAATGTACACGTGCCATCACTTTTAAATGTATAAGAACATAACTTATGAAAACGATCTACGAAAAAAATGTGACTGATTGTTAAGCTCATAAATGAAATGCTATTGAGGCATTGAAGACTGTTTAATTCACCTGTTTAATTATATAAAAAAAACCTCAGAAATTTCATTAAGAGGCTGAGTAAATTTTATATATTTTTATAATCAAAATTATACTGATCGATTTAAACTCTTAATTTATTGTACACTACTTAACATTTTTTACTGAGTATAATATTTAGTATTTATTTAATTTTAGTCATTTTGTTGACAAAAAAAAAGTTATTTATTTATTTATTTATTTTAAACTTCCTATAGAGCCTGTGTTAACAAATTAAGTTATGCCATTCCTAATCAAACTGGCTGTAAGTTATATTAGTTAAGCTATTGTTTTATTTTGCATTTTACTTTTAAATTTTATTTTACTAAATTAATTTTTTTTCGTCAATTTTATTTATTTTTTTTTAATTATATTTTTTATAGGTATATTTTATTTATTATTTTTTTTTTTAACATTTTAGTATACTTGTAGTTATATAAAAGTAATTTATATACTAAAAACAGAAAGTATGAATTTATCTTAGGTAATAATTTCATATTATATGTATTAGTACAAAACACTAAATAATATGTAAACATTATTTTATTACTTTTCCAAAAATTTTTATTCAAACATAGATTACAAACTGATTACCAAAATTAACTTTAATTTTGTTAGAAAAGTATCATAAGTATTAAATGAACATTAATTATCAAATTATAATTAGCCATAAGCACTAATACATGTTTAATACAAAATTTTAAGTATTTATAATAAAAAAATAATATAAAATTAATTTATGTTTCATTGTTTATTTTTTTTTTTTTTTTTATATATTTGTAATTAACCTGTTCCTACACTGTTATTGTGAATGTAATAGTTTCTCAAAGCATCATACAGTTAGTCTACTTAATTAGTTATATTTTCATAGTTTACCTTACTAATAACAAATGAATAAAAGTTTTGCTAGCTATATAATTTAAATTATCATGTGTATGTATTTGTTTTTGTCTAGGAGTTTAAATATTGAATTTCCATTTTTGTATTGAACACTGTATCTATATACAGTGGTGTTTCTAACACTTTTAGCTAATTATTTTTGATCGCCTTTAAGTAACAATTTTAAGTTGTTGCTGATCACTGTGCACAAATATTGCGAATGCATTACATAATTAAACTGGATGGTGCCGTGGCATATGATAGTATTTGGTAGGGTATAGATAATACGTATACAAGTTATTTATTTAACAAGAAACAATTTTCTAATCATCAACTTTAGGGTGGTTTCTGGTAGTAAATTGGATTTAGTATGTATTTTGTCATAGGCGTTCGCAAACTCCAAAAATAGGTAATGCGCATATATTATTATCGACCTTCTATACTTTAAAACTATTAGACTTATTTAAAGCTTAGTGTGCTTTTAATATACATATAATAGAAAAAATATAAGTTGGACACTATCATTTCTGAGAGAGTAGTCAAGGCAGGTTAACATTCGAGTTAAAATACAGTCAAAAAGGAAAAATAAATGAATAATATTATCGATAATAGATGATCACAAATATTACTTTGTAAATTGTAAATTAAACAATTGTTTTCTCAGTACACAGTTATAATTAATTCATAACAATTTTTAATATATTATAAATTATAATAATAGTCGCTACACGTCTACACATTAAGCTACATACAGACTTTCAAAAGTAGCAAAGTGTACTTATCACAGTGAATTATCTTAATTTTTAAAATTTGCTTTTAAAATATAATCTAAAATTTATTTTGGTAGTTAAGGTATATTTATTGCAATTAATTTCAATACATTTAAACATAGGAAATCTGATAGAGACATTGGTCACTTCAGCCCATGAAATTCACAGGGCGTGCCTGGGTACACTCCGCACGCCTATGTACTTTGTTAATTTTGAGAATATACAAGGATATTATGCTCATGATATAACATATTTAATCATTATTTTCATTCATTAATACTATGTGTAAAAAATTTGAACATACCGTAGAATTCCGATTATCTGGATTAATTAAAGTAGGTAAAGGGTGATCTGGATTGACATATTATGACATGTCAAAAGTTATGTATTATTACCTATATGATTTATATGAAATGTAATTTAAAGTTTGCAACAATTAATAAATAACTTTACTATGATATTTAACTGAAAAAGAATAAGCTATAAATAAAATCACATATTTTTAAAAAAAACTAAGAAAAAGCTAACTCAGCACATTATTTATTTTATTTTGAAAAATGATGACATTTATTATTTATATTTCTAAACTGACAACTAACTACAAGACGTTAAGCACAACTGAATTATAAGTTATACCACTTATACCTAGGTATTTCTTATCTAATCTATGGTTACGAAAATGAGGAACGCCGAGCAACGAAATACGAATACGATTTACGAATTATTTAAAGATCAATCTTTTTTTTTTGTTCGATTGATTGACAAACGCATAATCGGAGTTCTAGTAGTTCTACTGTATTTGATAAACAATCAAATTTGACGTCTTTACTCTGATATTTATATTTTTCAACATGATGTTAGAAATTAAAGTATAAATTTATGTCATATTAAAAATTGTTATAACTCATAAATTAACATATGTCAAGACTCATTCAGGAAAGATATTGGTGATATTTTACAGCTTTATAAACTTAAACACAACATTTTAAACGATAAATAAATATGTAATCAGATTATTTCATTAAATTAATATTACTTGTTAGAAATAAATGTTAACTTAAAAAAAATATAATTGAACCCAAAATTATAAAATTTGATAAGTAAAAAGAAAAAAAACAACAATTACATACTTAGTTTACATTTTCTGTATTCAGAAACTATAATTATTTATGTTATAACTTATAAGGTAAGTACTCTATTGGCCTTTTTTTATGTTATTTAATATAATATTTATCATTGTAAATAATATTGTTTATCTATTATTTAAACAATATTTTTGTTTTATTATAAGCTTTATCTTAAATCGAATTTATTTTCAAGTAATACCTTATTTTTAGTTTTTATTCAAGATCAAATAACCGTAGATTCTTAAAATTTTCATAAAATGTTCATGATATCATTTTATTTATATGGCATATTTTGACTCTTTTCGAGTTATTTATAGGAATGAAAAATTTTCAAATCTTTTTGCCCTTACGATGTTTTTGCACTATTACAAAACAATGAATATCGTTATTACTTATGATTTTGTACACGTTTAAACTTTAAATATCTATAAAATATAATATTGTAATTGAATATTTTATTATTTTTTTTGGTTTATTAATTCTAATATAGTAGTATGAAACAATGTTTAAGTATAAATGAAACGTTGTAATACATTTTCAAATTTAAACTATATAAATTGGGACTTATTTATATTTTTTACTATGAAATATCTGTAGTTAGTAGATTTTTATAATTTTATCTATTTTGTTAACTATTAATAACAAATAGTTTAAGTACGCAATTTTGTCCAAATTTGAACTTAAAATTTCTATAGTAAATTTAGCTTGTAAATATTTTTGTTTATCTATATAAAAACTAATAGCATAAATATAGTTCAGCGCCCACTAGAATTTTTCAATTAATTTTTGAAACCTAGGTAAATCAATGTTAATCAGTTATAATTTGTATTGTTTCATAATGTTTTAATATTTTAATACATCTAACTTACAATGGTTTTACTTAATAAGTCAAGAGTTATTTTCGATTTTAATTGTCGGAGCGAACGCAGCGAGCGACTGATCACGTCAAGTGTATATGAAAATACCATTAATTTCAATTTGCTATAATGGTTTAGCTAAATTCTGACTTCCTTATCGTTTTCAGCATACTTAACAATATAGGTACGTTAAAATAAACAAAAATTGTTAAAAAAAAAAGGTGTTAAGTAAAACAGAAAAATTTCAATATCATGGTGAAATAGAGCGTTGTACAAATGCGTAAAACACTGAGTGTTTCTAACTTCATAAGCCAACAAATTAAAAACTATTGATATCCAATAGTTTATTTTTGTACTATTATTTTTAAAACATTGATTTACTTAGGTTAAAAAAAAAATAATTGGAAAACTCATTATAGGCACGGCAAAACCGTATGCATGCGCAAAACACAAAAATCGTAATTTTCGAAAGGGTTTAACGCAAAAACTAATGATTTGCACCGTCATTCTAAACTTGTTGAAATACATAGGTTTCCAAAAAAAAAAAATTGAAAAATTCGCGTAGGCGCTAAACTAGATTTGTTCTTACCTAATTATGTTGTAGGTTGTATATTTAATTTTCCAACTTTTCAACTAAATACAATTTTTTTTTATGTTGATAAAAAAAAATTAAATTTTCAAATATCTATATAACTTATAAATAAATAAAAAAAGTCGGAATATTTTGCAAAGGTTATCATGTATAATGTATTAAAATTTGGTGTACATTTAAAGTATGAACGATTATTAATTTTTTATCACAGCTTGTATTAAAAACCGTAAAAAAAAAATCATTTATTATGGGTGAATATGCAATATCAAAACAATTTAAACTACTTAAAACGCTCATAAAAAAATTTGAATTTTCGGGTAAAATGTTTTATTTGATAAAAAAATATTCATGCAAAAACTCATATTAAATTTTCAAATTTTAAAAATTATAAAAATAATTTTTTTATAAATTTTAAAAACAAAATAATTTTGAACATTTTAAGGTTTTATGAATTTTGTCAAAATTTAATATTTAAACGCGTTAAAAAAAAATATTCTAACTATAAATTTTTGGATATATTTTTTTTTATTATTTATTAAACTTTTATAAAACATCAACTGCTCGGGCCATTAGTTTAACATTAACTTAAGATTAGTTTATAGAGACTATGAATAGATACTGCATAGCTTAGATTAAGTTATATAACAGTGTTTCTTTTATAAATTGTAGGTCTGGTCCTTCCCAATGCTTCTCCGATCTGTTGTGAAATATATTGTTTTTTTTCTCGTATCTTTGTATTTTTGACGTTAGTCATTATATGTTTGACTGTGTATTTAATTGTTAAATAAATAATTTATGATGATCTTTGTATTATATTTTCAAACATTTTTTTCTAGTAAATAATTTTTTATTGACATTTATAAGAAAAAACTAAATAAAATGGAAAATTTTAA